GAACCCTCTCGGAAAACGCAGACCTCATTGGTAAAGGCGAATTTGTGTTAAACTGGTATGAAAAGACAAAGGTTTGAAACAGTTAAAGTCATCGACTACCCCCCCTCCTCCCCCCCCCCCCCCCCCCCCCCCCCGAAATAGGTTTGGGTGAGTTTACGTTTTTTCTGGTTGTCAAGAAATTTCTGGGATGAATTTTTTTTGGACTGGTGTGGAATCCACTTAATCAGGATAATGTAATCAGCGCCTGCCATGGCTTTGCCCTGGACCATTGGGGTCTTCAATACAACACCTCCAGATTCCCTACATTCTACTCCCCACCCCTGTTATGAAATCCGCCGCTGAGAATACGCGTAGACCTAGCGAATTGCTCACCAAACATGATACAAAACCTTTTAAGTAATGAATATTATTTATCAATTGTTTGTAAATGTATATAAATTTTACAGCAATCTCGGCTCGAAATTGTACATATGTAGATCCGTGTCTAATATGTAACTCAAATGCATAAAAAAAATTCTGAAAGCAGTAAAATTCCACAGTATTTTGTGGTACTCACTCGTAACGAATTTCATTCAGCTGATTGGTCAGTTAGAAAGTATCGCCAGGGCCTCGATTAGCATATGAATTCATTCCTACGTCAGAAAATCTAATTCCGCCGATCTGTTTATAATGGGAAAGGCCAGCTTGATTTTACAATTTTTTTAAAAACAGCATGTGGGCGCAGTTAGGTACAATTTTCTCTTTTTGCATATAGGTAGATTTCAATAAAATACAGTGACCAGCCAAAGGAGAAAATTGTACCTATCTGCGCTCGTATATTTTAAGGGCTTCAAAGAGTGGGGCGGGGTTAAAATTCTATGGGAATCGAATGTAAACATGATACCCCTACCCTAATAAAGGATCAATATCTTTCAAACTACGTTTCGATTTTTGTTTAAAACGGTATTCTATGTAGGTTCACATATCAGTGATTAGTTACATATAAAAATTTGAGTAAAATTTAGATATTTTATTTTTTGTCAATTTAAAGGGGACCGCAAGTCACCTTCTCCTTTGGTGGTACCCAAAGAAAGGTCTTGTCACAAGAAATACACATGTGAAATATGAAAGTCATAGCTCCACTTAATCAAAAGTTATGGGCAAGGTTAAAGTTTTTGTAGACAAACAGACAGACGGACAGCTAGGCAGACAGACAGCTAGACAGACGGACGGACACGACAAAAACTAAATACCCCCAAAACTTCGTTTAGTAATGACAGTATACAGTAATGAAAATATTCTCATCCGAAAAAATTTTCATTCCAGGTTCCAAACACTGACAATCAATATTTATACCCCCGGGTATATAGTAATCGTCATGTCCGTCCGCCCGTACGTCCGTCTGTCTGAACACCCGTCTAGCTGAACGTCCGCCCGTCTATCCGTCTGTCTCTTACGCTTTGGGGTACCCATCTCTTATCCGCAACCCCCCCCCCCCCCCCCATACCACTGAATGAACTTTCACAGAATCTTTATTACATATTGCCATTGTGCACCTCCTATTTTATTTTTCGATCTGACACATATTTTGGGTTTTCCACGACAAAAGATGGACACTCATAATATATTCATATGGGAGGCGAGGGTATCATTTAGTGAGCTCATTGCTCACAGTACCTCTAGGTTTATATCCGATTTCATAACACAAGTTAGCTACCTCGTATTGACAGCTGATTTTTAATCCCACTTAGAAATTATTTTAACTTTTCAAGTCGTGTTTGTTCACTGTAAAATTGTTATTTATGCTGTTCGAGTGTCTCATTCTTAATATTCATAAAGTTTACAAAAACATTTTTTCTAAAAAAAATTCTTTTGAGCAGAAAAGTTCAAAACCACGTATTTTATTAATTTTGTGATGGGTTTAACGTTTGGTGAGGGAGATCATCACCTTGCTTATTCTTTGAATTCCTATGTATATTGGTAGTTATCGTTCTTGATTTTCGAGTTGGAAATCGTCCAACGTAAAAACATAGTATGGTAGGGAAGTTACAAATATGGATTTTGACATCTTTACACCAAACCCTAGTTAGTTTAAAAAATATGTATTTAAGAAAGTAAAAAAAAAAATGATGATTAATAGCTTTTTTCTATGTTACTGTTTTTAAATAGAAAATAAATTTTGAATAAGTTTATTTTGTAATATTTTATTGTAATTTTATATTTATTGTATAAAATATTTTGTTTGATATTCAGTTTTTGCCTTATAAAATGTTAATTACTTAGGAAAATGCTCTAACGAAAGGGAAGCAACTGTTATAGACTTCACGTTTTAACGGGTCAAGTTAACATGTACTGTGAAGGATGAACCAATGTAAGCTGATTAATATACTTTTGGGTTTTTAATACCGTGAATTTATTTAACACTAATAAATTGGTTGGCATATTGGTTTAAAAAACATGCATTCTTGTATAATTATTTCTTTCAAAAAATGAAAATGCCGTGCACCCAAATCTTTTTTATCGGGGTAAAGAATTTATGTCTAAATTAGAGTCCAAAACAGACAAGCACAACATGATTATGATAATATTAATGATGATAATATTAACAATGGATGGATAGCAATAAGTATCTGCGTAACATCTTGTCTGTTTGTCTGTCCGTATATCCCCCACAATGCCATATTGATAGCTTTTACGTGTATGTTGATATCTACGCCAGAACAGGTGAGTGTAAAAGAACAAAACTTAATTTGTTTCTGGTCCAATACTCCGTTCTGAAGATTCATAAAAAGCGTGTACTTTATATGTATATTAAACTAGGAAAAATTAAAAATGAATCTACAATGGTCAAAATTCGCCCAAAATACATTTTATAAGTTCAAGGTCCCGAGTAGCTTTTAATCCTTGTGTCCCCTACAAAAATTTGATTTTTTCAATTTTAAAAGTTTGCATATATTTCAATATATGTGATGTACTCGTTGCAATTGGCAATTGGAACTTTGTGGTGAAATACACTTGTTTTTAACTTTGAAAAGGGTTTATTGGTGCTAATATCAAGACAAGAGGCCCATGGGCCTTATAGGTCACCTGAATATCATGTAACAACTTTGAAACAATTAAATTTAGTTCCTGTGTAAAACCAAAAAGCTATGCAATTCACAATTTCGAAAGAGGCACCATGCATTGTTTATCATAATTATATACTTGGCATGCTTACTTTGGTTACTTGATACCCAGAGGTAGATCAGATTAACAAAAAGAAAATGCATTTCCACCTTATAACCAGTTGTGTACGCCACCCCACAGTAACCACTGATCCTGGGGCCACAATTTCAAAATTTTGAAAATTTTACCATATACTTTATTTCATCAGAATTGGTTGATTAATACCAAAGAGCAGATTTCAAAGCATAGATTTATTTTCAGACTATGTAAACCTCCCTCCCCCCACCAGAACCCCTGACCCAGGGACCATAAAATCAAAGTTTTAGAAGAGACATTCTTGTTTATCATAACTATGTACTTATAGATTGTTTAATAGGAGCAGATCGAGAAGAAGATTGTCAAAGTATTATGTATTTTCAGTTTACATATATAATCAGTAGAGTTCCACCCTAACACCATAACCCCCGGCCCATGAAATTCACAATTTTTGAAAATACATTCTTGCCTAGCATATCTATGTATACTTGGTTAGTTTATAAAATGTTTATTATGGGATGCTTTTTCGTCTACTTCTGATTCTGGTTCAAACGTGAGCTCAATTAGGGGATTAAGTGTCCATTTCTGACTATGTCTCAGGTGGGATGGTTTGGGACTAAGGCTGTGCGGAATTTATATAATTTATTACATTTGCCGAAATATATGAAAAGTTTTGACAAGAATTTACACAAAGTCCAAAAAGTTAATTTACAAAGTATTTTATAATAAGTCAGAAAATGACGCATTTTACATATTGTACACCGTAACAAATGCCAAGGAGCAGAGAAGAAGATTTTGAAATAAATAATGCATTTTTATATTATATAATATATTTAACCCCACCCTAACACTAGAATCCTGATCTTGGGGTCATGAATTTCACAATTTAATTAGAGGACTCAGTGCTGATTACTATTATTCCAACACTTTGAGACTGCTTGATGTAAAGAGTAAAGAAGAATATTTTTTTAAAAATGCATTTATATCAGTGGTTTTGGTCGCACCTCTTCAGCGCCAGGGGGGGGGGGGGGGGGGGGGGGGGGGCAGGGACCGTGAAAATGATAACTTTTGTTTCCCGGTACCCATAAATGCTTTGTGCCATTATTGGTTGAGCGGTTGCAGAGAAGAAACTGAAAATGTTCAAATGTTAACGGACGACGAAAAAAAAAAAAAACAACAGATAAACGGTATCAATAGGCCACTCGAGTTTACTCAGTTAGTTATGATAAGTTATGATAAGGTAATTAGTAAATGATCAATTCATGCACATGTCCTATTTTTAGACAGCGTTGATTACTTTAAAATTACTTATTTTCAAAAGGTCAATTTTTCGTGCTTTGAGAAATACATATAATTACTGTTTTTAAGGATTTGATTTTTTTTCTTGGTTTAAGGAGAAACAACTAACGACGATATGCAATTCTAACATTTTTTTGGGCAGGCACGTAGCAACAGGAGGGGGGGGGGCTGTCACACTTGTTTCCAAACATTACTTTTACTATTGAAAATGTTTATTGAAAGAAAGCTAGGTTGCCCCTTCAAGTTTTACTACAGTAAAAGTGAGAACAGATATTATATGTGGTATTTTATGCCCAAAAAAAGGTACTGAAGGAAGTGAGTATTGAATCTTTTTTTTTACTCGAGAATACCACGCCTTACTGAAAGTCCAAACTACTGGGAATATTTAATGGTTCTAGGTGTCAAGTGAAGGTCCTGAATGGTCAAACATTCCTGAATTAGGAAAGATAACAGTGCATGCAGTGTATAATCTATATCGATATGTTGATTACACTTTTTATTTTCAATACTTACAGATACGGTTGGAACCATACATATAAGACATGGGGGGACAATACCTTTCACAAATGTTCATGAAACTATGCCAGGTATGTATATAAATACAAAACTAATTAGCTGCAGAACTGTGACTCTCCGAAAAAATATTAACAGACAGCCAGAGATTCCATTTTTTCAGACAGGTGAGCTACATATCAGAAGCTAAAAATTGGTATAATAAAATCAGTAAGAGTGAAGAGAAGGAAAGATGGATCATTTGTCAATCAATCTCAAACTTTTATCTCTACTTTTAATTTTTGCTATAAACTATACATATCAGAGGACACCGTTGAATTTTTTTAACAGAATCTATGTAAAATATGTAATACTAGTACACAGAATAGCGCTTCATATTAACTCTGTTGTGATTTTTAAGGCTGGGCTGACCTGGGAGAGAGAGAACGCTCCATCATAGAACGTCACTCTGAGACGGACAGAATGTGGGCGTTGTCCGAGTATCGAGCACGTCAAGGAAGTAAGTTATAACAATTGTACAAATTATAAACAGATACTTTTCTTTTTCTATATTTTGGAAAGTTTTGGGGAAATGAATTCTGATCAAGTCAAGAAATTACAATGTAATGGTACATGTCCTCAAGCAAATTCACTACAGTGAAATGTTTCCATTCTGATGATATGATCTTGCAGGAGAATGTCCTACAGCGTTTAGATTAGCAACATTTTTGGTTGAAATCGAAGGTAATACTGCTGGAACAAACAGAAGTATTTTAGGTATACTAGTAATCTCTCTCTCTCTCTCTCTCTCTCTCTCTCTCTCTCTCTCTCTCTCTCTCCCTCATATTTGTGCGTGAGGGTGTGTGTATGTGTATGTTTATCAAATTATAGTCTTAGTATGTCATTGCAGGAGAATTACGTAACAGAATCCGCGAGTTAGAGAACCAGGTTGAGGAACTTACCAGAACACAGAGACAGAGGGATGTAAATGCCGTCCTTGACCTGAGAGGCTATGAAAACCGGCCTTGACCCAAGAGACTCAAATGAAATCAAAAACAAAGTGCCATATATATTTACTTTTTTCTATGATGTCATTTCACAGATTACATAAATATATTATCGATTTTTAATTTATTGGGATTTTTTTCTTGATATCATTTTGATATGATATGAATGTTTGATGATGTAGCTCATTTGGATGAATTCATAATAAATAGGGCTGGGTATTGGCCCGAGATTTCGTATTGCGATATATTGCGATATTTTAAACTGTATTGCGATATGTATTGCAATATTTTCAATGTAATAAAAATGGCATTTTCTACTATATTTTCTTAAATTTACATGCAGAATGTACATAACTATGATAAGTAACGAACACAGAAAAAAAAACCCTGTTGATTTCATTTAAGTTATGCTCTGAAATGTTCCCACAAAACATCTTCTGACTTAAATTTGGCTTAATATCAAACTTTCATGAGTCCATTTTTATATCTAATGACAAAATTCCTTAATCTAAACATATTGCCAATATATCGATATTACAAAATCGTATTGCGATACGATATTTTTTGTCATTGTATTGCAATATATTGAAATATTGATATTATTGCCCAGCCCTAATAATAAATCTAAGATGTTAAATAGTATTATTTTAGTAAGAAGTAGCTTGCATAATACATGTGCAGATTTAGAAAATGTTCTATTTATATTTTGACAACATATCTTTAAAACTCAGCTTTATACTCGTACAAATATTTAAGCTGAAAATTCAAAACAAAAATTATGAAGCAGTCCCTTTAATATATTTGGAAAAACGATAGAAAATTATTACAGAAGTAAAACAAAAGTTACATTACGTAAATCATAATTGATGAATTACGTGTATCTTTCTTAATAAATTTTTAATAGTTTTCATTGTGTTTTGCTGTTTTACTTCACACTCTATATCCATTAAACGTTTTGACATTAAAGTAAAGCAACTTGTTTTACATTTGTGAAAGAAAACATCTTACAATATTGTCAGCAACGATCTCTGTGGTCCTTAACATGGCGTAAAATCTTATCTCTTTGTGTTTTTGGGGGCTTGGATCATTGCTCCCCACCGCCTTTCAAAATGGATATAAAATTAAGTAAAGGTACAAGTGACCAAAAATTATAGCAGATGCGAGAGATTTCATCGACATATGTACAAATCGGGGTCACATAAAAATTAAATGGAAATGTGAAAAGAAAGAGGAATGTGTAACAAATTTATTAATGTATGCATATCCCATGTTTTATTCTGGTTTAAACAAGCAAATTCAGAGAATTGTGGTCCCCAGCTTTCGGTATCTTTGTGGGTGAGATGTTATTTTTATGACATATTGTCTGTATATGAACATATACTATCATATAATGTATGTCATTTATTTAGAGAGTAACACTGAAGTTGATTTTTGTTTAAAGATGAAAACCCTAATCCTGACCGTTAAAAAATTATGACCAAAGTAAAAAGTTTTTTTCAAAGTAGGTCAACTCCAAGATCAAAGGGTCAAAGTTGTTGATATTCAATGAAAGTTTTTCTCACAAGGATTACATATGTGAAGTATGAAAGCCAACAGCTTTTACTGTTCAAAAGTTTTGGTCAATGTTAATTTTTTTCGTAACTACGTTAATCTTTAAGTTCAAGGTCAAAAGATCAAAGTTGTTGATATCCAATGAAAGGACTTGCCACAAAGAAAACATATGTGAAAAAATAAAAGTCCCTAGTATCTACCGTTCATAAGTTGTGACCAAAGTTAAAGTTTATCCCTAAAAGTAGTTAAAACTCCAATGTCAAGGTCAAAGGGTAAAAGTTGTTGATATCCAATAAAAAGGTTTTCTCAAAAGGATTACATATGTGAAGTACCAAAGACCCAGCCCTTATCGTTCAAAATTTATGGTCAAGGTTAAAGTTTTTTTTCATAAGTACGTTAATCTCTAAGGTCAAGGTCAAAGGGTCGAGGTTGTTGGTATCCAATGAAATGTCTTGCCACAAGGAATACATATGTGAAATATAGAAGTTCTAGTATCTACTGTTTAAAAGTTGTGACCAAGGTTAAAGTTTTTAAAAAGGAGTTAAAACTTCAAGGTCAAGGTCAAAGAGTAAAAGTTGTTGGTATCCAATGAAAGGTTTTCTCACATGGATTACATATGTGAAGTATAAAAGCCCTAGCCCTTACTGTTCAAAAGTTATGGTCAATGTTAAAGTTTCTTCATAAGTACGTAAATCTCCAAGGTCAAGGTCAAAAGGTCAAGGTTGTTGTTATTCAATGAAAGGTCTTGCCACAAACAATATATATGTGCAATATGAAAGTCATAGTATCTACTATTCAAAAGTTATGTCCAAAGTAAAAGTTCGGAATTTTTGTGAAAAAGTGGGTCAAACGCAAAGGTCAAGGTCAAAAGGTTAAAATTTGGTGGTATCCAAAGAAAGGTCTTGTCACAAGGAATACACCTGTGAACTATGAAAGTCATAGCTCCACTAAATCAAAAGTTATGGGCACGGTTAAAGTTTTTGTGACGGACGGACAGACAGACGGACGGACGGACAGACTGACAGATTGACAGACAGATGAATGAGATTTTTAAAATGTCCCCTCGCTTTCGCGAAAGCGGAGGGCAATAAATAATCGAGCGAAGTTGAAGCGAGGTGAGGCGGATGGCGAGAAAAGAGTTGCAAGCCTTCTCTCTTTATAGTCGAAAACGATATAGGGCCTATTTAAAAACAGCTTATAGAGACAAAAGAGTTACATTATTGATAACATATAGTGCATATTAGAATAGAAAAATAGGGAAAAGGTGACTCAACCCAAGATTTGAAAAGAATTAAAAAATAGGAAAAGGGGGGGGGGGGGTCCATACTCCAAGCGCCTATGATTCCTTCAGGCAATTTACATATTAGTATCGGGGGGGGGGGGTGCAAATCCCTAATCTTCACAGAATGTTATTTATTTATCCCCATATCCAAGTAGATTTTCGAGTTTGAACAGTTGTTTCCCTTTTAAAACGTTACTTTTTTCTGTGCCATTTCTGTATTTTCCCATTCGAAATAATTTCTTGCTCCTCAGAGTTCTTGGTTTAATAATTCGGAAGAAATGGTTTTGTTTAGATCATTTTGTAGTTACTGTGCAAAATGTACATCCGGTAGTTCTTGCCAACAAAAGGCATGTTGAAGTTGATCATGTTGTACATGTTGGCATGTAATGAAGCGATGCAGAGGATTACTTACTGATCTTACATTTCTTTGTTTATCATTTTGTAACATCTACAGCATTAAGTGTCCAAAACATCCGAGTTTGGAGTAAATAAGAATGTCTTTTCGATATGGGAGGAGACTCATTGGCCAAGCCATTACACACTTGCACAG